CAAACTGGAAAATTATATAAATTATTATTTTTTCCTTTATCTCTGAATGTTATCAATGATAAATTAAATTTATGAATCATTCAAAAACTACGGTTGTTATTTGTTATAATTTAGTTTTTATAGTTGTTACCTACCATCTTTAAATATTTAAAAAGTTAGCTTAGTTTGTAATAAGTAGTACTAATACTCATAATGTCGAGAATGAGACCAACTCATAACCAAATGAAGTTTTTGGTTGATCAGATGGCCAACGATCCGCAATTGTGTTCCAGTAATTTCACAAAAACATTCACTCACAAAATCGCCCAACAGAGATGGGAAAATATTGCTTTTAAATTAAACTCGTTACCAGGACCAGAGAAAAATTGGCAAAAATGGAAAAAAGTAATAAACTCTTTATTTGATAAAGATATTTATTTTATAATTTCAAGTATTTGTTTCTGAATCCATAATCTATACTCGGCTAAAACTTTGTCTAACTAGTTCTCGAAAAAAAATCCTAAGTCATAATATAATATGATTCTACAATTATTATTGTAAAATTTTAGACATGGCAAGATACTAGAAATAGCACAAAAACCAAAGCTGCAGCTATTAAACGGCATCTAGGGGGCACAGGTGGTGGACCAAGTTGTTCAGTTGAATTAAATGCAATTCAAATGGAAACGCTACCTTTATTGAGCAAATCTTCAATTAGTGGTCACAGCGATTCGGTTGAATCAATTGTCCAGTTTGATTTTGATGGCTCTACCGAAGATGTGATAATTGGTAAATTAACACATCAATTTATTCTAGTAATAGTCTTACTTAAATCATTGGACACTATAGTTTTTAAATTAAAATAATAGAATATAGAATACTAACCTTATACATTATACTAATGTGTTAAATCAATTATTTATGTGTATGTAATTTCATATTTTTATTAGTCTACTAATAAATATTTTTTGATACCTAATAAAAAAAAATATATATTTATTTCTCTCAGCTTTTCCTATGGTACTGTAAAAAAATGTAACTCTGAAAAATTTAGAAATAGATTTAGAATAATTCTCTGATTTTGTTAACTCAAAGTTGCATAAATTCCATTAAAAAACTAGACTGATATAATTATATTACAGACTGATTTTTTTTTTTTTTGTTTCATTGTAAAGTTATGGAAGTTATTACTATTAATTATTATTTTTCTGTTAGCATTGACTATTTTATTTTATTTACTATATTTTGTTATTTAAATTTTTAACTAGTTTTAGAAGTTATTTATTTTACCAGAAGGTTACCCATTTTTTTTATGACGTTATTTCATTTTTACCAGAAGGTTACCCAATTTTTTTTTATTTCATTTTTACAAGTATGTTACATATTTTATTTTGTTTTTAGTTATTTTTAATAATAAAGATTTGTTTATAATTCATATATGAGTTGCATATTTATTTCACCGTATAATTATTATAATGTAAAATATTTACAGAAGTAAATAGTTTCTATCATAGCTAACTACCTGTAGTATCTTTTGTAAAGTTGGAGGTGAGGAGAAAACAATTAAAACAAGTAGGGTTTTCTCAAATCTGATGTACCTGTTAGGTGCATTATCTTATCTTCATCGGCAAACTGCACAATATTGACAAGTTTGAATAATTTATCCATCCATAACATTTCTTTGTGATAGATATCTTATTACATTATTTCTCTGTTGTCTTCCTAGACTTAAATCTATATTTCTGTTGTTTAAATCAGCCAAGTTATCTTCATCTTCTATCATACCCAAATCATCAAGCCCTTGGATATCAGGTTCATCAATCAGCTCTATGTTGTTTGTGATACACATATTGTGCAGCACTATACAAGCATTTATAATAGAAGATGCTTTCTCTGGTTTGTAGTGTAAGGTCCTATCTTTTAACAAGCATCTAAAAAATTTATAAACATGTTAGTTAAAATTAGGTGAAAAAATAAATTTTAAAAGATCTTACCTAAATCGCATTTTTAATACTCCATTGCAGCGTTCAATTACGCTCCTGRTTGACATTTGCTTTTTATTATAGTATTCCTCGTCTTCAGTGGTAGGATTTGATATTGGTGTTAGCAGCCATTGACGCAAAGGGTATCCTGAATCACCTGATAATATATT